TCTCCACCTGACATTTTCACTCGAAATGGAAGTAAGCTGAACAATTATGAAACAAGAGATTCCTCGAAACCCAACTTTTCATAACATCAATAACGTTTAACGACCCAAGGAAAGGAATGATTATGGCTGCGTAATCTGGCACGCTGGTTTGGTTGATGACCTCAATTTAACATGTTGGATGAGTGTGAGTGAAGTTGACAGACAAGTTGAGTCGTTTTCTCTAGAATGGCGGCTCAACACACTCCTTAAATCTATCAATCAAGCATAAGTAGCCCCTACTCAACTTTCTACCACCGTTCCTCACATCCATCGTGTTTCCTAATCTTTGAGAGGATGATGCCTTGCTCTGATGATGTTCGTCATGTGACAGACGAAAGTTTAGCACCTTTTTATCAGGATCGAAGGAGATTACATCGGAAATAGCGTCAGTATGAATATTCCAGTAAAGCCAATCGACAGGTAATCAAGATGAAACTGCCGTCGTCTTCTGGTGTAATCGACCTTCGAATCTCTTCACCAAACCCTTTCACTTAAAAAGGAAGTAAGCTCGACAATTATGAAACAAGACATTCTTCGAAACCCAACTTTTATTCGCATATATAATACAAGTTTACTCCATCGACAATCCCACCACAGAATGTGATGATGGAAAAGGCTTTGCCCATCTTGAAATTTACTTCTGATTATATTTATCACTTCCACGACCCGGGTTCGAGCCCCGCTAGGGGTGCTGATGAGGTCAGTTTACGTTAGGTTGAAAATGCACTCCACTTCACTCCAGCCCGAATTGAAATACCTTTTGGGAAGCAAGGCTAATTGCGAAATTCACTACATCCGTGAGGCCTAGTCATTAAATTGTGGGAAAATTCAATTATCTGTCCTTTATAATCTAAAACAACATAGGGTGAATACTTCTCATATAGATGTTTATTTTGTTATTTCAACGCTATAAATTAGGTATTTACGCCGACCCCTACGAGTTGAGCAGGGCTGGGCTCCAGTTCAACATCAGTCAGCCCTTCCTGTACTCCGAAAGACCACACTTACTCACTGGCGTCGAGGTAGACCCTTCCACGCTTCCTTCTGATCTGAGCGCTGCTGACTTTACATATCAGGCTTCTTATCTTCCGTCAGATTTGGGTCTGCAGCCTGCATTTACTGATTGCCCACTTGCCTGGCTCACTAACCAGCTGAACCAACTGCTGGCCACCACCTTTCCACGTTCTTCAAGGAACACCGCTGCATTCGCCTCTGTCGAAGACCATGCCTACTTTGGCGCTCCAATCTCACCTTCAGGATCAACTTCGAAGCATACGCATGCCAAAATCTCACTGGAGCATGTGCCCGCCTGGCGCATAGACATTGAGGCGGCCGAGTGGCAAGCTGTCGGTTCAGTTTGGCAGTTCCAACTGCCCCCAAGACCAATCGGCGCTCTACAGCCTAACGACCGGCTTGAGATGAGGATCCCTCTCTGGATGCGGTACAGGTAAGAGGAAGCTGATGAGGTTGTACGTTCGTAACTTAGAGATTGTTCATCTTCACGACCATCGAGAAGGGAACTTTTCAAACAACTTGTACAAAGATCTAGTCCCAATGTATCTGTTTATTAGTTTGGGAACTTTTTCGCATTGTTTCTCTGATGTATGGTTTCTCATCTATCCGGTGAAAGTTAGTCGCTTTTGATGCACTCATTTATCACCCTCTTGGCAGTTTTTTGTGATAATTTGGCTAATTGGCAAATGTTTTGTGCCAACTTTCTCAGCACATCCTTCGCTCTTCCATGTCAAAGCTGGGCGCCTATACAGACATAAGTGGGGCATTGAACCAATATATTTGATCAGGGGCACTTTCCAAGTTGTTGCAAATTTTATTTTAACTTTCTTGCAATTCATCTTGCTTGAACATCCTGTTAGAATGCCAGAAACTAAATGCCTTTCATTCAATAAGAGATATCGGTGGATAGACTTACAATAGTTTCCATTTTTTAACTTTATCCTTCCCATATGTGTTTTAACCCTTTTCATCACAAATAGACTTCCCATAAAGTGCTCTGAACTGCCGTCAGCACAGGATAGTGTCTACAAAGAATCAACTTCTCCGAAAATTCCCCCCAGCATTATGCAATCACTCCGTAGGCCTTATTTGGATTGCTCAGACACCGGCCTACTCAGGGACACAGGACATCTGCATAATGGTAACCTCTCTCTCATTCTCATCACATTGCAGGCTTTGCCTAGACGTTTTATTGAGATTAATTTTACCTCTGCTCTTCATAAATCCCAAACTTAGGCTCATGTTTTGCCAAGCAATCACCAGTTCAGCCCTTGGTCTAAATATGATTCACTACGTTATTATCTGCCTCGCTTGACTCTCTAACTTTCACCTAATTTGGCAGATTGGAAATTTGTTGGCACTTCCAGACCCAGTCAAGTGAAAATTACTTTACTAATGAATTTTTTCTTTATGTTCTCTATAATCTTTTGCATATTCATATATTTTCTTATTTGTCATGTGAAGCAACTAGACTTTCTCGTCAGTCATCAAGTCGCCACTGGATACTGTTTGTTAGCTCAACATTGCCAGATCTATATATTTGTCCAACTTTGAACATTATCGTTGTGGCTTGTATTCTTCATATTCTTGATCCCCGTTTCATACAAATGTATGCTAATCCTCACCTCTTTCGCTTTCTTTTTTATTCATTAACTCATTCGGAAACAGACCCTGCTTCTCACCAGCTGCTGCCCGACCCTTCCAAGCCCAATTCGTTCGATTTTGTTCTACCGGTTGGTTGTTCAGAGGACCTTCTCCTTGTTGTTGGCCTCACCACGAGTCTGCTGTTTTTGGGCCTTGCCGTCTTGCTCTTTTTTTAGAATGGTACTAGCATCAGCTCGACGAATCATACAGCTACCTGGCGACTGCAGTAGTGACTAGGATTGCGAGTATGCGCTTGCGCCAGAGTTGCTGCTGACAATGGAATGTTAATAACCACCCTGAAAATAACTTGTTTTGCTCCTTAACTTGCCCGTCTTTCCTTGTTTCCTTTTGCATACCGTTTCTGGATTTTATTCTATTCTTCTTCTCTGTACGTCAGCTGTGTTTTCTTTGCTTTGTATCCTTTCCTAATCCTTAATGCGAAGTGCCTATTAGGACTTTTCGCTTCCTTTTTCCTTCTTCATGGCACTGACGATTTATCTTCGTCAACCAATGGTCTACATTGCGTGCTCGAGTCACTCAATCTTCTCTTCTTTCTCGTTTCTCACAGCCTTTGGAGTATTTTTCGGCACCGACTTTGGGACGAGTCCTTTCGCGCACGTGCCGGATCAACTGTGATCCATCATCCTAGTATCATTACACCTTGTTTTACAAATTCGTTTTTTATTATATAATCTATTTTATACATTGCATTTTTGAAGCCATTAAAAAAATTTTGCTCGTTTATTTTCCAATGACTTTTCTATTCTCTGGCAGAGATGAAGTGTTAATCGGTTTTTCATCATAGCATCGTGTCCTTAAGGCTCATCGTGTACAGGAACGAATGGCTTAACTACGAGTTTTGTAATAATAACGATGTTTAAATTTCAAATTCTCCCGTTTGTTATTTGTTGCCATGTTTCCCTGGGGCAAATTCCCATCCAAAGTTGAACCGAAGTTCCGATCACGTTTGCATCCTTATCCTCTTCCCTTCCTCGCCGCTCAACGAGGTGGGAATCAGGTAGGTGTGGGCTCGAGTGCAAATGTTTTACTGCGAGACGGTCCATTGCCATTAAAGTCACCCAATCGAAATAGCGACATAATTCTCGAGTATGTTACGTTTCTCAACGAATTTATAAGGGATTTAAATATTAAGGCTTTTATCGGCAGGACCCTCCGAAAAACTGCCCAATTAATTTTGCGTGGCGCCTCAACTCTTCTGAATCTACGTTTTCAAAATGATCGAGACTCCTTTTTGTAATAAAAGGTTTGTCGATCAGCATCTGACATTAATATCAGCGGAACCAAGGTTTTAACCTGACCTGATCTGAAAATCCAGATTCACCATTCGGTTATATTCGTAATCTGGCCTCACCATAAAACCGAGGCAATTAACCTTGGGTTTCGCATGTGGATTTGCGCATCCATGCTCAGCCTCGGTAGGTATCGTCAGAGCGTAAAGACTGTCTTTAAGATAACGCGCGGATCAAATTTTAACCCAAGAATGGTTACCTGGTGTAACCCTGCCAACTTCTCAAAAGTCATAATTTAGTGGGCTGTTTCACGCTTATTTCCCTCTTCTTCATACCTACGGATAGGTGGAATTGTGTGTATGTTATGGGCGCGAGTTGAATTAGACTCATCAAGCTGATCAAGCCTTCTTATTTGCCATATTTCTCTCATTTTCTCTTACACCCAAACCTCCATTCGAGACGCTGAT